AAATAATGTGTAAGAAAATTGTTTTAAGCTGCAGTACTTAACTTTAACAAAATAGCTTTTTCTATCTGTTAAAACTATCACTACGCTGTGACAGTATTATATGAGACAGATAATCTGCGAAAAGAAAATCCGTATTGTTGATAGCTTTATGAAGTAATATATATGCAGACATTGGGATAGGACATCAACAGTGCCTTGTGGACTTGCAATATTAACAAAATGGATCCCATCTGGACCAATTGACAGAGATTTTTAAAGACATTTATCTGATAAACATAATAAGGGAATAAAAACCGTAGATGAAACAGAACCAGGAGAATTAGTAAGTATCCCAAATAAATAAAAAAGACATGTGGACCTGACAGCATTTTTTACTTCTGTTCATGTAAATCCCTGTTATTGTTAGTAGGATTACAACAAATTGATTTACATTTTTATCGCAGGTTCTGTTTATTGCAACTATTTATAGCAGTGGTGATATGTTGTTACAGATGAATACCCTGAGACTGTAACTATCTTGCCCTTCAAATATTTGAGTAAGCAGTGAACAACCATGACCCTGTCTGCTTAGTCGCTGCTGATTATAACACACCATGTGACTGTATCGTGATTGGATTGTCATTTGAAAGAGGGGAGGAAAAAAAAGGAAGGAGAACGCTGGTTGTCACTGCAGAGACAGAGGTGAGTGGGTTGCTTGTTAAGGCCTTGTTAGTGGGCACTGTGTATGACACATTTCTACTGCACTGTACTATAATGTTTCAGACAAGGAGAGGGAAAGAGCGAGAGAGAGAAAGACAAAGAAATCATTGAACATCTTACCTGGTGAAATAATTATCCACCTGACATTTGGCTTACGCAACCAAAGACTGTTAGCGTAAAAAGCTGAAGAAAATCCATTGTAAAAAGCTACATTGATAGAACATTTCTAACAAATGTACTTCAGAAAGGTATTTTACAAAGTAATTAATGATAGTGATTATTGGTTTGATTTGACGACACTAAAATGTTCACCTGGCAAAAAACATTTGGGATTTAAATATATCCGCACAAATAGTCCATTTTTCTCCCTGCAGTCTGTAGTTAAAAAAAAAGAAACAAAATCCCAGTGAAACAGCAACAAAATACTTAAACTAAATATATGCACTCCTACTCCAAGTTTCAAGACTGGGGTAAAATGACACGTATTTGGGTGTTCTGCTGAATTATAACCAAGTCTTGGCCCACAGGAACTTTTAAGAGATTTAAAACTACTTACAGCGTCCAGCCTTTGCCATCAGAAATCCTGCTTGTAGATCCCAACGATCCTGCCATGCCCAAAGCCAGAAAGCCTTTTTGCCTAGTTATAGTGGTGTGAACGCTTTTCACAAAACGCATGAAGGAAATATTTGTGTGAAGATTTAGACTTCTTAAGGCTATGATTTAAGTTTGCATGTTATTCTGATACTTTGACTACTTAATACTTTGCGCCTATTTCTTCTTCAGAAATATTTTTGCCCGACTATGACCCAGAAGAAAACAGGAACACAAGAGTCTCATGATTTTGATCAGGAATCTATTGAAATCACATCAGAGAATTTTTTGTTGTTTTGGAAAAGCAAAAAGAAAATCATCTCTTTGATATGCCTTATCTTATCCAGATATATATAGTTGTGGTAAAAATAAATGCATTATTTAATTTTTTTTTTCAGTAACGTTTTTGTTTGGCCTCATCATTCTCCCTGCAATGATGTTTAATTTAAATAAATTTTCCTGATGAAGAGAAAAAAAAGCCAATCATATTGATTGACGAAATACAGATTCTTGCAATGTACACCTGAAGGTACATTGAGGGTACATATGTATGTTCATTTATGTGAACATATATTTCATATAAATATGTTTTATATAATTATTTGAAACATTATGAACAAACTAGACATGATTAGATTACACTCATGTAATAATTTCTATTCAGGACTAAGCATTGAATAATATTTATAAGTGTTAATACTTTTTTTTTGTTAAATTGGATGAAACACGACCGACTGATATGTGTTTCATTAGCGCCCCTTGGTGGCAAAAAACGAAAATCACGTTTTAGAAAATAAAAATCTCAGTAGCAGCTCACGCAGCATTTTTGTAAAAAATAAATTAAATAAATAAATAAAAAAAACTGAAATAAAAACTGAACCCCCCCCCCCCCCCCCCCCCCCCAACAACCACAATTTAAGCATGTTCAGTTTAATGTATTTACTGAGAGAAGATTTAGAGGTGAGGAAATAAAGTTGATATAGAGCTATGGAATATACTTATATTTGGTCACTGAGGGAGGTAACAACAGGATCCTTTTCCCTTTTGAACAAGGAAACCTTGTGGCACATGGATAAATGAGCCTGTGTAATATAGTTAATGTTGTAAAGAATTTCACTTGTCATTTCTTCCAAGTTTGGGTTCAGGTGTAATGGGTGAAACAGCACCCCCTCCTGGTGATTGGCAACGTTAAATATAGTGAACACAGATAATCTCGTTGCCAGTTCATGAGAGAGGGGCGCGAGGTAGGTTCACTGAGAACATTGTAACGGTCCTGTAAAATGTTCTGTTAGTTTGTTGCGGACATAAAATCTCCCCCTAAGGTGCTGTACTGCCTGTGATGAACCTGGTTCCTGATTATTTTATAGTTTGTTTCATACAGATAAATTACATTTTGTTTCATCCTGTCTCCTGGTCTCGTATTCACATAACGCAGAGCTGATGAAAAGCCATCATAATTAAAAAAGTTACACACCAATCATAATTCTAGTCCAAACAAATTGGTTTTTGTAGTCTTAAACTGTAAAATGTCAATGAGAGGCTGAACAGTTTCACTTAGGTTCATAAAGTATGCACTAAAAACAGTGTTTATTTTATTTTATATAATAAATATGCCACATAGTTAACAGTTGCACAAACATAATGTGGATCATATTTATAGCAGCCTTTTTATAGTGTAAATGACTGATAAATCCTTTCAACACTTTTTCTTTACATATGCTTTTAGGTTTTAAAGTATGTTGGAAATATTTATTTGTATCAGCATGTTTTCTCTGACTAGGAAGGACAGTCATGTAAATCAAGACGGATCAGATAATTTCCTCCAAACCATTTCTTCTTTTGCATTGATTTATAAACTTTTGAGTGATGCCTGTCTCATTTCATACCGTGGACAAACTTTCTGGTTGAATGAAAAAAAAAGATAAATCTAAACCTATTCAGAGTATAAATAAATATTAGCTGAATCGTATATACTGTAAGATTTAATGGAAAAACAACAACAACAACAAAAATACTTTCACTATATTGTGTGACAGTATGATATGGTATGAGACCGATAGACCTTTTTCACGCTACCGGTGTTATGCCGAGAAATGCATGCCTGCCGAGAATTGCATCCCCTGTCGCGGGAGCGCGCATCGCTCTAAACTCTCGCATATTGATGAGTAAACGGGCTGAAATCCGACCGAAGAGGAAACTTTTAAAGATATTAGTAACATTATCACGTTTATTAATAATGTAAGCGCTAAAATTGTGGGTTTTATTTCGCAAATTAATTGAAATAAACACTGATTTTTTCACGTTTATTGAGCCATATTTGTCGAACGTTCTTCAGTGTCTGATGAACAATTCTCCGCAGCTGCTTTGAAATTCCAAGATTTTTCTTTTAACACCATAATAGCTTAAAACTTTACAAAACCGAGGCCCAATCCCAATTACGTAGAACATTTTTATATCACGCTTAGCTGTCTAGTGTATTAATGTAGGGGAGTGCATTTAATTTCTGAGCCTGCTAATATTTGCATTCCCTGTCTATTGTCCTGTTCATATGAAACTTATAGTGGTAACTCAGGGAACAAGTGTCATTATGTAGAAAAAATGTAATTTCCAAGTTAGCAGGGGATGCAATTTTTGCAATATGGATTTCTAGCTTGCCAAAATTTGCATCCCCCTGTTTTCATCAAATATGATCCAATTGAGGTGAAACTCCTACCAGCAGTTCTTACAACTACTCTGGTCATGTAGGACAAGTTATTTCACTCTTAACTCTTTATTTCTCAGAGTTACACTGTAAAAAAGGAACCTCAGGGGTTATCACATTAACAAAAGAATATCATGTACTGTTAACTAAATAATTGCATGTTTGAGCCAAAAACATGATACAATCATGTTGCATAAACAAGATATTCCACAACTTCAACGTTTATAAAATTGAATCATGTTGAGCGAACATGATTCATTATAGTCAGACCGATCCTATGCTGAAGACCACGAGTGAGATCACGCGATATCACGCAAGTTCACGCAAGATTACGGGAAATCACGGGATATCACGCGAGAATACGCAAGACAATCGGTTTTTCTCGCAAATGGAATAAAATGTATTCAAGGTGGGATAACGTGATTCAATTACGTCAGCTAGATCTTCCGCCAAAAAAAAAGAACGTCGGGGCGTATTACATTAACAAAAAAATATCATGTACCTTTCACACAATAATGTTGGGTTTGAAGCGAAAACGTGATAAAATCATGTTGGATAAACAAGATATTTCACGATTCACATTTATAAAATTGAATCATGTTGAGCGAACATGATTCATTATAGTTAGACTGATATTGTGCTGAGGACAACGAGTGAGATCACGGGATATCACGCGAGAACACGCGAGACAATCGGTTTTTTCTCTCAACTGAACTAACGTGATTGAATGACGTTATCTCAACTTGAATACATCTAATTCCTCAAGCTCCCAGGCCTCTACCAGAGGCCTGGGAGCTTGAGGGTCCTGCGCAGTATCTTGGCTGTGCCAAGATATATATATATATATATATATATATATATATATATATATATATATATATATATATATTTTTTTTTTTTTTTTTTTTTAAATATATATATATATATATATATATATATATATATATATGTTTTTTTATTTTATTTTATTCAATATCAATATTTGTCAAAGTTAATCTAATAAAAAAAAACACAGTGACGTCAGTTCCAAAGCGCTATTGTGTCAGACTCATCTCCCGCTGAAGAGGATCCAGCGACATCAAGAGATTACGGAAAATCACGCGAGATAACTGGCTCGCACCTTGTTGGGTTTTTTCAAGGGCAGAGGGGAGATTCCTGGCGTGCATCTACTTAATTTGAAGAAGGTAAGAGTCAAACTATTTTCATCTAAATCCATATAAAAATATGTAACTTAAAATTTCTCTACCATTTGCACCATTTTCTACTTGTTCCATACTTGTGTCACATTATTTCATGTTCTGTAGATTAAGTCGGTTAGGTTAAGGCAGATAGCTTTTTGTTTACATTTATCGCCGCACCATGTTAGGTACATTCTGTGCGAAAAAACTCTGCAGAGCCATATGTAGTGTAAGGGTCACAAAGCTGCTGCCAGAGACACAAATGGACCCGGAAATGTCACAGTTTTGCTCCTCCTGAGCTCCCTGGAGGTTTAGTGGATTTTTAACACACTGATCTAACATCAGTCTATTTCTAACTATTTTAATTCTATTTCAGTAATGTTACTATGGAGGTAAATGTAGATACACACACACACACTTTGGTACCTTTCTATCATCATCGAGATTCTTAATTAATTATGGTAATAAAAAGTCCTACATTTCAGTCGGTGAAACCTGCAGAAAGCATTGCTTTCTGAGCTTTGTTAAATGTTCCTAAAATACCTGTTAGTTATGGATTTCTTGTATATTTTGTCAGGCTAAAACTCTCAATGGATTATCCATTATTACAGACTTGAGCTTTCTATTTTTTTTCTTTAAAATACATATTCCTCTGCTGTAAAGATGTTGGGGTTTTTTGGACTCTTCTTTGTTGTCCCCAAATAATTGTAGCTCAGAAACAATATTGAAGTTCATTGGTTTAATTTGAAATGTTGATGTTTTTTGTGTTGATTGTTTGTGCTCATTTTGACCTTTGTTACTATTGCTTTCTACCATGTTCAATTCACCATTGTTCTGCACATATGTGCTTGCATACAAGTGTCCAGTGGTTATATTCATGAGGCATTCAAGGGACTTGTACTAAAAGATACAACTCAGTTCAGTATGAATTGCATATTTTAATGGCTGAAAATATATCTGATCTCTTTCAGAACATCACCTGTCTGTAATCCACCTGCGTAAGTACTGGTCAAGGGGCTCATCGGCTATCAAGTTATAGATTTCAGTGGCTAATAGTAAGTTTTGCCAGATCTAAAGTGACTGAATGTAGTGTTAGAGAGCTTATAGAGCTAGAGTTCAGCTAAACATTTATTTGGCCAGTCTGTTTTATTTGTCTTTATTTGCGTGGGGATGTGGAAATGTAAGGAGTGTAGTCTCTCTCTGTCTCGTAGATATGACCTGTTAAAACATTTACACTTAAACACCGGCATATGAGACGTTATCCATGCCCACACATAGACTGTCCATGTACTTGTAAGACATGGAATGCTTTGCATATTCATTTAAGTAGAAGGATATAGACTGTGTTGACCATTCTGTACTTTTCACATATTTCTTTGGTGATATATTCATGTCTTTATTTAAACCTCTAACAGCTTCAGTTAGATGTTTAAATGAGATGTTAAACTCCATTTTAGTCATGGCATAATGAAGGGATACTAACAATTTTAAATATCTTTCAAATAGACTGCAAGCCACTGATCACTTTTGTTGTCACTTCCTTTGAATGTAGCTATGTTTTCAAGTGTGTGAACCTATACTGCTGGAGTTTTGAGATTGTTCTCATTGTTTTTGATCTGCATATTTAGGAAGACACTGCTGAGGTCAGACGAGAGTGCATCCTCAAATGTCTGTGTGTACCTAAATGAAGATCCAGAGAAGCTGGTGAGGGAGTACATGGTATGTTAAATTCTCTTTGTGTTTACAATAGAACTCCTAAGAGTTGTTAAAATACTTTCACCAACTAAGGTCCATGAGTGACTCAATCAATGTCAGTCTTAATTTATTTATTTAATTACATGTGAATTGTCTCTCCCCCAATACCCTTCCCTAACTCCCTTAGGACGTTGATGAATGCGCAGAAATGGCCAAAGCCGAGGCTGTCCTCGGAATCGTCATTTGAGCAGAGGGTGCAGAGGCTGCCGATGCACATCTGGATGTTGGGATTGTCCTGGAGGAGGTGGAAGTTATGAACAGCTTGGGCAGTGTATCTTCTGCAATAGTGATGCTGCTGGGACTAATCTATGCACTAAACTTGAGCTACCCTCAAGTTTAGTGCGATCAGCACTCAACTTGCTCAGTAACTCAAGCATACCTTTGAAGTAATACAGAAAATAATAATGAAATTGGATGGAAAGAACTTATCAAAGAAAGCACAAGTTCTCAATATGAAACTCGCTGCTAAGTTGAGCAAAGTTTCACATGGAAAATGAGTGTTTAAAGTCTGCAGTAGAAAAGATTTATATTGTTACAGTTCTCTAAGTTGAGCAACTATACTGACATGTTTTATGTTGTAAAGAATTGGCTGGGAAATGAAACTGTAACCTTTTTGTAGTTGTTTTTTTATTTCAATGTCCAACTCAGCTGTGTTTTGTGCTGTGTAAAAAAACGATGTATAACAATTCTGAAAATACAATTGTGTTGTACCTTTTCTAATTGTTGAGTGTTCTTCCTACACTTTCACCTAGTGCTATCTTAAAATGCTTGATTAACGCTTGAAAATATGTCTTTGAATTAACGTCATAAATAATGGAAAGGATTACAAACGATTAACTAGCTGTCTTTTAGCATGAAGCATATTTGTTGAGCTAACTTGCTTTTAGTGAGTTGGACCTACTGAATCAGGTAGTGTGAAGGTACCACTGTAAAATAAGGTGGTTTCAACTAGATTTACATTCATCTTAATGAAGTTACATCAATGATTTGGTCCTAAACATTGCAGATTAGTTGGGCGGGCTGTATTGCACTACACTGGGTCATGCTATAGTAACTGAGTTAAAGGAACCTTTAAAACATATGTTGAGCCAACACATTTCATTTGAATTTGAATAACCTTAATGAATGGAGTTGAGCCAACTCATTTGATTTACAATCATCCATTGCCTTACCATAATTCTGGTTAAGCCAACATATTTGGTTTAAATTAGAACAACCTTAATGAATTATGTTTTGCCAACTCATTTTATTTATATAAGAATAACCACAATATATTACGTTGAGCCAACATGTTTGATTTAGAATCACCCATTGAATCACCATTGTAACAAGTGAGCCAACACATTTGCTTTACATTGGAATAATCTTAATAAATTAGGTTGACTAACACATTTGCTTTAAATAGGAGTAACACAAGTACATGGTGCTGAAATAAAGCAAAGTAATCAGGTGGAAATCCTTTCCATAATTTTTTATGTTCATCCAATGACTTATTTTTTTCAGTGTAGCAGGGGATGCAATTTTTGGCAATATGGATTTTCAGCTTGCCAAAAATTGCATCCCCTCTTTTCATCAAATATTTTCAGAATGATATTAAACTAATACCAGTAGTTCAAAGAACTACTCTGGTCATGTAGAAAAACATATTTCACTCTTAACTCATTATTTTTCAGAGTTAGCAGGGGATGCAATTTTTGGCAATATGAATTTTCAGGTTGCCAAAATTGCATCCCCCCTGTTTTCATCAAATATGATCCAATTGAGATGAAACTCATACCAGCAGTTCTTAGAGCTACTCTGGTGATGTAGAAAAAGTTATTTCACTCTCAACTCTGTGTTTCTCCAAGTTAGCAGGGGGATGCATTTTCCGGCAATGTGGAATTTTCAGGTTGCCAAAAATTGCATCCCCTCTACTTTCATCAAATATGATCCAATTGAGATGAAACTCATACCAGCAGTTCTTAGAGCTACTCTGGTGATGTAGAAAAAGTTATTTCACTCAACTCTGTGTTTCTCCAAGTTAGCAGGGGGATGCATTTTCCGGCAATATGGATTTTGCTCCTGCCAAAATTTGCATGTCCTCTCTATTTTTCTCAAATGTTATGCTAATAACATGGAACTCATAGCAGAAGCTCATACAACTATTCTTCTTATGCAGAAGATGTTATTCCACTCTTAATTTTTATTGTACACGTTAGCAGGGGGATGCGTTTTATGGCACAGCCTATTATCAACCTGCCAAAATATGCTTTCCCTCTCCTTTTTCCTCAAATGTTATCCTATTGATATGAAACTCATACCAGCAATTGAGGGAACAAATGTGATTATATAGAAAAAGCTATTTCACTCATAACTGTTTGTTTTTAAGCTTGGGGGGATGCATTTTTTGGCATAGCAAATTATGAGCTGCCGATATTTGCATGCCCTTTTTTCAGCTCAAAAGTGTCATACAGATTTGAAAGTCACTCTAGTAGCTCAGAGCATACGTGTCATTGTCTAGAACATTTCATATAACACATTACTATCCTAATTCTCCAAATTGCAGGACATGCATTTTCTGACAATTCATTTTGAGCACATTCTCAGATGCATTCAATAATATTTGATGACAATAGCGGGGATGCAGATTTTGGCAACCTGAAATTCCACATTGCCGGAAAATGCATCCCCCTGTTAACTTGGAGAAACACAGAGTTGAGAGTGAAATAACTTTTCTACATCACCAGAGTAGCTCTAAGAACTGCTGGTATGAGTTTCATCTCAATTGGATCATATTTGATGAAAGTAGAGGGGATGCAATTTTTGGCAACCTGAAAATTCCACATTGCCAAAAAATGCATCCCCCTGTTAACTTGGAGAAAACACAGAGTTGAGAGTGAAATAACTTGTCCTACATGACCAGAGTAGTTGTAAGAACTGCTGGTATGAGTTTCACCTCAATTGGATCATATTTGATGAAAACAGGGGGGATGCAAATTTTGGCAAGCTAGAAATCCATATTGCCAAAATTGCATCCCCTGCTAACTTGGAAATTACATTTTTTCTACATAATGACACTTGTTCCCTGAGTTACCACTATAAGTTTCATATGAACAGGACAATAGACAGGGAATGCAAATATTAGCAGGCTCAGAAATTAAAATGCATCTCCCCTACATTAATACACTAGACAGCTAAGCGTGATATAAAATGTTCTACGTAATTGGGATTGGGCCTCGGTTTTGTAAAGTTTAAGCTATTATGGTGTTAAAAGAAAAATCTTGGAATTTCAAAGCAGCTGCGGAGAACTTGTTCATCAGACACTGAAGAACGTTCGACAAATATGGCTCAATAAACGTGAAAAAAATCAGTGTTATTTCAATTAATTTGCGAAATAAAACCCACAATTTTAGCGCTTACATGATAATAAACGTTATAATGTTACAATATTTTTAAAAGTTTCCTCTTCGGTCGGATTTCAGCCCGTTTACTCATCAATATGCGAGAGTTTAGAGCGATGCGCGCTCCCGCGACAGGGGATGCAATTGAAAGCGGATGTTGGGTTGGACAACTTCCGGTGGCTATAGCGTTAGCATTAAAAGGTTAGGAAAATGGCTCAGTCTCGGCGCAGTTGTTTTTGTTCAGACCCTGGTTGTTCATGTGGGGCAAGAAAACAGCTTTATCTGTCATATCATGCGTTCTCGACGGACCGGACCAACGGAGGCAGTGGATCCAGGCGATCCGAAGAGATGTAGCCGCTACTTCACACCGGAGGATTTGTTAGCGGATCCACCACCAGCCGTCTTAAAAGTGGAGCTGTTCCTTCCCTGTTGTCTGGAATAACTTCACTGCACCGGCAATGAGAGACTCTGCTTTCGAGAGGACTAAGAAACGGCAGTTTGTCCTCTCAGAAAGCTAGCCAGGCTGAAGATGCTACTGCGGACCATGACTACACGGCACATCCACCCGCAGGTAAAAGATAAAAGATATTCCATGTAAGAGAATTTCAGTAAAATATAACTGTTGCTATAATAATAATAATAATAATATGATCACATAATAATGAAATTATGAGATTATGTGGCTCTTAGAGATTAAGTCAATGGTTGTATATTGACTGCTCCGACTCACAACATGTATTGATCTTCACAGAAGTAATGTTTCAAATATATAATTAAAACTTATTGCTAACCGTATGTTTTGATAATTTATTTTGTGGTTTTACAGTTGCACTTGTTGGAAAATAAAGAGCAAATGTTCCCAAATCGGCAAGATTTGTTCCACATGACGAGAGGAATAAACACAGTCAAAGACTTACTGGTAAATTCATGTGTTCCCATCTTATGGAGGGAAATATATTACCTCAAGCAGCTAGAACACTGTTCCTACCCACCTCTAAACTTCAGTAAATAAAGACAAAATGTTTTCCAGTTCTCAAGGACAGTTGTGTGGAACGACTGATCAACGTAAATTTAAAGCTGATTGGCCAATTCCTGTCCCATGATTTCTAAAAGCAATTTTTTCTCCTTTGAAAAGAGAGGAACAATGTTCTCATACATCAAAAAATAAAGAAATATTTTATGGTATGTGATATAAATGCTAGAACTTATTATTTGTGGCCTTAAAATGATATTAACTATCAAAAATGAGCAATTAGAAATATCTTTTATCTAGTAATTCTCGTACTTCAGTAATTTTTTTATGTCCTGCTATCTTGCTTACATCCTTTTATGTCAGCAATAAAAAAAAAATACAAATACAATTTGTTGGAAGACAGTGTTTAGTGGCTGACTGATAAATAATGACGGTAAAGAAAACATGACAAGAAACTACAGGCAGACTGTGATTCTGAAACATCATTAAAAAAACAAAAACATCATCATTCAGTTTACCGATTGACCCATATAGAAAGAAAGATACAAGGCTAGCTCAAGCAGTTTTGGAAAATAAAGTTTTTGTTGGATGTTTTACAAACTGATTTATTATTATTGAAACCATAAATATGACTATATCATCTGAAATCTCATTAGTTTGAAAAAAAAAAAAACATAGTCCAGTGAGTTTATTTTCTGTTGTGAATTGACGCTATATAAATAAACTAAACTAAACTGAATCAAAACACTCTAAATTTGAGCTTGCGCTTCATTTGGACGACAAGCCTGACAATTTGTGACACTCTGGTCACAAAATGAGAGGAGAGTTTAAACCCAAAAGCCACACTGAGGAGGTTATTTACTTCACAAAAATGTCAGGATAGATGTTAGAGCTTTGCTGTGAACTTGAACACACTCTGCAGTCCTGCCCTTCAGAAGAACATCTTTTCCATTATTCTATCAACTTCCACTCTGTTTTACACATGCGAAGGAGTACCTATCTGTGCTGCTTTAAGAGTTTCCATGGAGGCACATGCCAGCCACATGTTAGAAGCTGCCTTGGAGCAAATGGATGACATTATAGCTGGTAAGAGTCTCTGTTTCATCATCAAAGTCTCAAGAGACTGCCCAGCTTTTAATGTTAGGCTTTCATAAGACCGCCAGCTGCCAACAGATTTTGCTTATGACCACTTTGCATATGTATTTAATGGCAAATCCTTCCTTAGCATGGTAAGGAAGGATTGTTTTATGTTTCCTGCTCATTCACACTGCATATAACTGACCTTGTTTCTCTCAGTAATTTAACTCAAGCTTCTGTTGTTTCTTGTACAATTCTCACAGAACAACGTGAGCTTTAACATACCTCTAACATTTTACGTCTATTCTTTTTCTAACATTGGTGATACATGCTGCGACAACAGCAGTGTTGTAGCATGGAGTCATGACTCTAAGATCTATAATCAGAGGTGACAACCTAGTCATCATCACATTTAGCGACAACTAAAAGGACATAAAAGAAGCTAATAATTAAACAAACCAACCAATAATTGTAGCATCAAATGCCTAAACGTTTGCATTACTTGTTTCTTCAGATTCTCATTTCATGTAATGTTTACATTACTCTACCTTTTGCTTTTGCTTGAAAAGGCACAACATGAAAAGTACTTTTTTTCTAATTCGTGGATTTGAAAAGCCACAGCTAAAGTTTGATACTATTTACTTTATCTATGCAGCGAATCATTTATACTGCCCACAAGGGGGCAACCCTGTTAATCTTTTTTCTCTCCCTGCAAGTCATGCTTTTTTGTTTTCAGTCAACTCAGAACAGCTGCAAAAATGCATAACCACAATATTCGAGGTAAATGCAAATTTCTACATTTGTGGATATCCTCTGTTCATTCTCTAGGCAAAATGTATGAAGGTCTTTTCAGTCCTCCGATGCAGCCGTGTGACCAAGGTTACAAATCTTCCGATGTTGACCCAGAGTTGCCCCTCCCCACGGCCTTGGACCCTGCTTTTGTGGCACTTCAGCTGATGGAGGTCCTCAGGGCTGTGCTGGAGGGCCAGAGGAGTGAGGAAAAGCAGGGTGCTCTCTGTAAACAAATGTCTACACACACAGCAAATGTTATATTAAAATGGCTCCAAAGAGATGAGGTAAGTTCATCTTCACTGACAGTGGCAGTTTTTGCACACGTTATGCAGACATAATAGCATTATAGACATAATATGAGACCTGCCCATAGTGAAAAATGGGAAGATCGCCACAAAACTTTGTCTTATAATGTTAAAAGGTTTGGTCATTGAATTTAGAAGTTTTGCTGGGGCCTGACAAGAATCTAGGATCAGATTTGTTATTATTTGCTTCACTTTTGGTCTTTGATCCTGTTTAGCAACATCTGGGGAACTGTTTTCTAGCCTGCTAAGAAGTGAGCCGGAAGGAGGACATAGTGAATGGCACTAGTAATGAGATCCAGAGCTTGTGTTTGGAGTGCAAGTCGTATTTCCCTTTAACATTTTATCTCTTAGTCTTTTCTTCTTTTCCTTTCAGAAGTAGTGTTTTAAGTGGTTCACATAAGACACCTAAAGTATGTGTGCTTGTTTAGATGTGATATTGTAAACGACATGCTCACTTCCACTCTTCTCCTCTGCCTCCTCCCCTTCTGTAAAGCCTTTACTGACTTCTTGCCCCACACCACATCTGAAAAGCATATGGTGGAAAAAAAAAGTTTCCTATAGTCCCCATTTAGAAAGCCCCACAAAACTTAGATTGCTTGATGGGTGCTACGAGAACTAACTTAGGAGATGCAAGAACAACAAGAGGAAAAGGGAAAGGTTTAGGACAGAAATAGTTGAGAAAATCATTAATCACATGGAGCTCAAATGCAAAAATATGCAGCTAAAAATCAAGAACTCCAGTCAGGCATGAAAGCAAGAAAGAAAGAGGGGAAAAAAAAAAGGCAGTTGAAAGTAGATAGAAAAAAATAAGAGGGCGTGGGGGATGGGGGGCAGGAGGTAACGTAAAGCCAACTGGCATAGTTTGACTTATTCAGTTCAGCTTTAAAAGTCTGAGGCAGTCCGGGCTCCAAACCACACAGACATAGACCCTTCCTGCACACTCCTTCCAGCACTGGGTTGTAGTAAAAGAAGGAGAGCATGCAGTGCAGTTGAAAGCCATTGTTTTGATTGTGTTGGTGCTTCATAGCATATATTCAGTTCTGTTAGACATCAAGTGTAAGATCTCTACTACAATGGGTCGGCAGAATGGAGAATCATATTGATTTCTACAAACATTTCACTTGGCTCAGAAAGGTAAGACATTCACTACTTTTATGTCTGCTCTTTATACCTTCATTCAACATAGTTGTGCAAGTCTTTCCTGCATTTTTTTGATTTAGTTTTTTGTTCTTTTTGCTTTTCAGTTGTATGTTTACAGGTCCCACAATCAGTATTTCAGTGGAAGACTGTAGTCTTTCAAACATAAAGTGTTGCTGCATAATAATAGTTTTGTACTGTAACAAAACAACAGTTTTGTTATTGTAATTAATGTTAGGGTTTTATAAGACCGCCAGCAGCCAACAGATTTTGCTTTGACCACTTTACATATGTATGACAAATGACAAATGTAAATATGACAAATCCTTCCTTAGCATGGTAAGGAAGGATTGTTTTATAATTGACCTTGTTTCTCTCAGTAATTTAACTCAAGCTTCTGTTGTTTCTTGTACAATTCTCACAGAACAACGTGAGCTTTAACATACCTCTAACATTTTACGTCTATTTTCTAACATTGGTGAAGAAAATTGTCGAATATTTCTCTTGTTGCTTGACATCCCAAGCTTTCTATCTTAAGGTTTTCTTGTTTATTTTTCAGAGTTTTTAAGTTGTTTAAACTGAATTAAAGAAAGATAGTACAATGTGTGACATAATTAACCTTAACTATAAAGTATCTTTTAATGAATATCTTCCATTTGGTTATGTATGACACCACTTCTACTGGTTTTTTCTAGGTTTTTATATTCAATGCTAATTAGAATAATAGAAAATGAGCTCTGAGTAAGTAGTAAGCTCCATCTGCATGAATGGTTGTGTCCTTTGAATAGACACTTGACTTTCCTTGCCTAATGATGGTGGTGCCCTGTGGTGCCTGTACATGGCAGCCTCTTTTGTGTGCACAGGGCAGCTTTGGCTACTAGGTAGCTTGCCACCACCATCGTGTAAATGTGATTCAGTGATGTTCATAGCTGTACAATGAACTTGCCCAGAGTCATATGCAAATCTTTTGAGAATGACCCTGTTAAGTTGGCAGTTGGCTTACTGCAACATTACCAACCAATTAACCAAATTAGCTTGAGTTTAAAAAAAGTTTCTAAATCACCTCATGCACACTGTGAAAAAAAAAACTTATTTTCCCCCAAGTACACTGTTTTTTTCTTTTTTTCCCCCTAACTGTAACATTTAAAGTGATTAGTTTTTAATGCAGTTATTTTTGATTTGAGGATAATGACGGCCGTCTTGGTTTGCTGGAGTCCTAAGGCCTTGTTTGCTATTTGTTCATTTTCCTCAAACTCTGACATGATGTGTTGCTTTGAATTTTTTTTTTTGCAGTTTATTGTCAGATACTAGTTAAGTAATTTCTTAATTATAAAAGTTCTAAAGGTCCATCAATATCCAGTAGCATGATTTGAAATTGTAATTTGAAAACTTAATTTTGTATTTACTCATGTATGGCTGTGAAATACACTGTGTACACTGAGTACACAGGCTAAACTGACCTAATACAGAAGTCCCCTCTAAACTATGTAACTGGCATACAATGTGGAACACGACCTTAAATGCTGGATTAGGATTTGTAAACTTCTTACAATCTCCACATAGTTGAGGCACTGTAAGTGGTTTAAGATTTCAGTGCTTAAAGGCTATAAATAATAACAACAATGAAAAGCTAATTTCCACTGAGAAACTGTTCTGTCTTGTGAGTATTCAAATTTGTTCAATTATTTCTATTCAACAGGCAAACCTCACCTTAAACAGCAGCAGTGGGTCCTATCAAGAGAGGTTATCACGTCTGGAGGGAGACAAAGAGTCACTAATTCTGCAGGTATGACACTAAGATTGCTTAGAAATATTAGAATGTTCCCAACACTGTTTTTTTTTTTCCTGGGCATCTGAATATAGAGTGAATTACCTACTAATTGACTCTAAACATTGGTTGTATCTCAACACCGAGAGAGGTGGGAAAAAGACGGTGAAAGAACAAATGGGAGCATTGTGTTGTAAATGTTGCACAATTTTCTGCTTCAGGTGAAGCAACGGAAACAAAGTGGGTTTGGTGCTATAATGACACCATGATCTCCTGTTTTGACTGATGTGTTTGTTTTGTAGCACTCCGGGTGGCTGAGTAAGTGCTTTGTAGACAGGCTTAGGCTCGCACCATTATGTGACCTGTTGCATGTAGGCGCATTTGTGAGTCAGAGTGAGTTTAGAGCAGGTGCCTTTTATCATTCATTAGCCCTCAGAGAAAGAAAATTAATTCTTTAGAAATGTTTGCTTCAATGGTTGGTGTTCCGTTGAAACAAAGCTCAGCTATTCTAAATCAGTCTTAGCCTCTCACCATCAAAGCACAGATGCTAGTACGCTAGCACCTGATTATTTGCCCATATGTGGGGTAGATTCTGTGCACATGTATATAGATTTAGCACAAACAGTAAGATAATTTGTTTCTGGTTAATTTTTTCTTTCTTGTAAAGTTTCTCTTTGGTAATAAGCTTCATGGTGTTGAAAAGCATGTTCATTTTTTTCCCCTTAAACAACTCCACATTTGCTTGAAACCTCATTTGTGGGTTGAGTAGCAGAGTTGAGTAATTGGGTCTTACCAATGAAGAACTTGCCAAAAACTAATAAAAAAGAAGGCTCGCCGTCTTTTGATTTCACCACAATTACAAACTAAACTTGAGGGTACTGTACATATCAGTGATTAACCCATGTGCTAAAAGTGGGTTGAAGAAGGTCATATCGCAGAAATTTGTGCTCAAGTTGTTGAGCAGCAAAAGGAGCTGCAAAGCTATTTTGGTTGTATACATTTCTTTTGCAAACTACTTAGACCTCTACTTGTTAAATGAAAAAGGTTGCGTAACAGCCAATATTTCTTGTTGTTTTTAAACTTCTATCATATACAATCCAACAAATTACACCATTTGGTTCATATCCCTTCTCATCGTCTGAGATCATCTGGTCAGAAATCAGTGCAGCTGACTAATTTTTAAGACCAATAAAGTAATAAGAAATTTCTATTCTGATCTATTCTAAGTTGTGCAATAAATAACCTTTTTCTGTGCATGACTGAGTCAGTTAAATCTTTTAAGCATCAAAAATATTTTTCTTTGGCACATTTCAATTAGTTAAGGATTTATCCTGTCCGCCATTTTCGAAGATATATGTGCTTCTTTTGACCTGTAGTTTTGTTTTTGATTGTTTCCATCACAGTGTTTGCCTTCTTCTATGCAGCATGTGGAGACTTCTGCATGGCACGCTGGTTTATAAATTAATTATACTTACTTAGACAAAAGGAGGGTCACTGAAAGTAAGCTCTTGGTTTTGGGAGTAAGGTTTTGTCAAGGTTTTCATTGACAAAACATACTGAAATGATGCTGCTCAACCTACAAGTTTCATAAAATATACTGAAATGTTCTTACTTTTAGTGCCAAGTATATTTACCTTATGTGCTGCTGAGATTGCTGTAATTGTTTCTTAATTTAGACTCACAGAAATTTTCTAAAGAAACTTTTTCTATCATATCTCACACATGTGGACATTTTAAGCAGTTTATTTTGAGAACCTATTCATCATGTTCTAAATTATCTGTTGACATACAAAACCCTTCATAGGTGAGTGTGCTGACAGAGCAGGTGGAGGCTCAAGGGGTGAAGATCCATGATTTGGAAAGTTCTTTGGTGGAGCATCAACACAAACTCAACAGTACAGAAGAGATGCTACAGCAGGTAGTTGCCTCTACTAGACTTTGAGCTATGCTGATTTGTTCAGACAATATTAGCACAAAACAATTAATTTGTGTGAATCTGGATCAAAGTCTGGAAAACCTCATAATGACCAGCTGTAATTCAATTAACTTGCTGTTCCCATAAAAATATTCATGGTACTAAGACAGTCCGTCTCTTTTAAAATGTGACCTTTTCTGCACTTTCATGTGTTTTTCATAAGCTGCACCCAGTAAGAACTCTTCAGAAATTCATTACTTGGATTCTGGGGAAGGTAGCTTTGGATTACTTTAGCAACAAAAATATTTAGGACGTTCAAACAGTTTCTCACTCTGGGTGCCTGTCTGGTTTATGCGCGGCCAAACTAGTCTGTCTGGGCAGGAGATTAACTGCACAGCAAGCCACTCCCCTAACTGGTAATAACCATGACTGCTCACATGCAGACTTCTGGAGAGAGACAGGAAGGAAAAAACAGGGAGGGAGAAGAGAACAAATGAGGAGGAGAGAAACAGCTGTAAAAAAAGGTGGAGAGATGGGAGGGAAAAAGAGCGAAGTGGTGCTCCTGCAAGAGCTGGATGTGCTTTGCTGGCACTCGTCTTTTGCTTTAGATTTGAGATAGTTTGTTAGAGGCCACTGGATGAACTGGATATGTGAAACCTTGGCCAACTTGAACTCCGACACATTGTTTGCATGAAGGAAATACTGACAGACACTGGATAAACCAGGTATTAACTTTCCTTCTTATGTTGCAACTCTTGCAAAATCTTCGTTGAACCCCCGGAATGAAAAAATCTAAATAAGTCAAAAATGTATTTATAGTTGTGTCTTTTTCTTCTAAGACTTATTTAGCAAGCTTGCAAATTATGAAACGGGCAGCCAGTTTCTTGGAGATGTGGTGATTATGAGGCTTTGGACCTGAGCCCTAAATCTCTTCCTGGTGACAGAATTAAAATACTTTCCATGTGCTGTCTAGAAGAAGTTCAGATCTTTTCAAAAAGCCTACACTTTAAATGTTTACTGGGGCTACTGTCACTGTTTCCTGCTCTTTTCTGGATGTTCTGCACCTGTTTGGCATGAGAAAAGTAAGACGTACATCTACCCTTATGTTCTGGTTTAACTCTGATTGCTAACCGCCTTTGGGGAAATATATCACAGAGCTATTAAATGGTAATCTCCCTCAGCATTAGGTTTGACAGGAGGTCATTTTTATACAGAGGACAGGGAAATGCACCTGTCAAAGTTATTTTGATATTCTGTCAATGAATGTTTTGCGTGCTTTTTCCTGGTCTCACCCGCTCCCTCCTCTCTGCTATGTACTTTGAGAGAGCTGCGAAATACACATTATAAATAGTGGTCATGGGTTGTGTATATTTAGCCACCCAAACAGCTTCAGAAACCAGTGTGGTTTGTCTGGAGGGACAGTCATTACGGAGCTAGTAACTTGCTGTGCCTCACACTTCATGTTGCCTTTGTAGATCAGGTTCTGGATGCTGTTCAGAACTGGGGGTTTAATGTATAGGGTTTAATGTAAAGGGTTGCGTCTGCCTGTGTTTTTCACACTCTTGCTGTGTATCGTTGACGACAGGAACTTGTGCATAGGACGTCATTGGAGAAACAGAAGCTGAATCTTATGGGGGAGGTTTCTTATCTGAAACTGAAGCTGGCAGACATGGAGGGAAGGCAGGTTCATGGATCAGAGAGGCAGCACAAAGCTGAGGTGAGACTTCTCAATGGGTCAGCAACGCCTGACGTACATTATATAGATCATTTTGGGTTTATTATATTGTCTTACACTCAGTGCCTGTCAGCTTAAAAAACGGTGTGCAGAGAACAATCACTTTATTCACAGTTGCTTTGTCATAGTTTCCAAATTGAACTATTACCTGAGTTTTAACACCATAAAAGTCTTGTTTCCAAATTACCTTTTATAGTTTGATTTACTGAAGATGAATATCTTTAATCACAGGAAATTTAAATGTAACGCCAGCTGTAATGACGAGTAAACATAATAATCTGCTTTCTGAATGGAAGCTGTTGACTTTAAGAAAGCCCATAAACCCTGATAGAATCTGTGGAAACAAAACATTCACCCAAATACTGACTTCATTGTACCTGGGGGGAAAAAAAATAGTGAATAGTGTGTTAGGTTACCAGCAGACTTCTTGGGCATTCAGAGACCAGATGAATTATACGAACGGAAATCAGAACTTTTACCAGACAGGATACTGTAATGTATGTAATTACTGTCCAAACGGTGCTCAAAGGATCTTTTTGTCCTCAGTTTAAAGGAGTTCAAACCCAAGGGAGCTGTTGTGATGGACCAAAATATGAGCCCTTAGTCACTGAAATAAATTCTCCATTTAAATAAATATTTTTCATAAAATTTTCTTGGAATCATCTGAATACAGTTAATATTTCTGGAGATTTGCATTTCTAGGTCCAAAATATTACACCAATTCAATTTTTAACTCCTGCTTTGACTAAAGGAGAGCAAAGAAACTGCTTTTATCACTATAGTTGTCCCCCACATGCTGCCTTTGTTATCTAAACATTATGTCCTCACATATGCATGTTTGCATGTACACACACACAGACACACGCATGGCACTTGGTCCTGGAGCCAACAAGCTTATGGTTAAAATTAGCCATGGAGGCCTTCCATATCATTTGTCATATCCGTTGTACTGAACCCCAAGTAAGACTTCCTCTGTACACTGTCCAGGCATAGCATGTGTGCTGTTTACACACTGTCTGGGGGAACATGGGTAGAAATCACCTTGAAAATGTATTGATGTCTGTTAACATGAAAAACATGGAACCGTTTAGTTCCATACTTTTCTTCGAGTGTAGTTTAAGCTTTCATAAAGTGGATGAGTTCTTAATATCAGTCAGTTTTAACGCAAAACATAGAGCATATAAGCAGTTTTATTTTTATTTTTCTTTTTTTTTAATTGTTCAAGTTGAATATGAGGTCAGAATTATCTCTGCCAGAAAATGGTTGTGGATCACCTGATTGTCAAAATCAGTCTGACGTCTTACAGATTTTAGGAACTGTGAAGAACCACTGTCTTATCTACAGCCCCACAAATCTGTCAGAAGTCCTGAAAGATTTAGATGATTTTGGCAAGACAGAGTGGGCAAAATCAACCCACTCTGATGATTGGAATGTCCCACATGCCAAGTCACATGGGATATGCAGACTCCAACTAACAAAGACAGCCTAGTGAAATAAAATTAAAGAGGTGGTTTAATAGAATTGTGTGCATACATTTGCAAAAACGTTGATGCATGCCTTTTTCTCAGATTTTCATAGCAACAGATTTATTTATTTCTCAGGTGGTTTGCACAACATTCATGTCGGATGCAAGCTGGACAAGTTTCTAAATTATTTTATTTTGTTTCTGTCTTATATTTTTGTCTTATCACAAATACCTGGCATTTAACATGGATGTAGTCTTTTTAAATCCACAATATGCACAAATCCTGCACATAGTTTCTTTCTCTCTTTCTAAACATGTTCTTCTCAATGTTTTTCTTCCCCACTCTGTCAGACTGTAGTGAATTTCATTAGTGAACTGCAGGAGCAGATGTGTCAATTTCAGAAGGAGATCAATAGCAAGATCCAGGAGAAAAAGGCCTTGGAGATCTCGACTGACAGCAGGTTTCCAGTGGTGGGCCCCACTGAGTCCCCTGAGGGCCGAGGCAAAAACTTCACGGTGTCCTGTGATGGACCCTCGGGGTGTATGCAGAAGCTAGAGGAGACTCCAGACAGACCTTTGGGGAACCTGGGAGAGGGTAGCTCAGATGCAGAGCAGCTGTGCCACTGCGGAGGAGAAAGAGTAGGCATAGTTCACCTGCATGGCTTCCAATGTTGTGCACAGCATGGGTTGTCTTACTTTATTGTATTGAGCATCAGATGGAATTGAAACATTCACCTAATACATTAAGCAGTGCTAAATATAGCTAAAGAAAGACAAAAAATACATTTTGGATTATGGACTAATGTGATATATTAAGAATTGTCAGTCATTAAAGATTGTGTGCTGTGTGAAATTGTTAGTGTCTCAATGAAAGCAACTGGATTGTAAACCTGCTAAGTTTCCAAATGTTCCTGTTTAGGTTTTGCTAAAAGAGCTCAGGATTCTTAAGGACAAAGTCCAGTGTCTGGAGGATCAGAAATTACAATATGAAAAGAAGATCAAGGCAAGCAAGGTAAAATATCTCTGTGTTGACATTGCGATACATTGAGAGTGCCCAAATTCCACTGTTAATTGTCCGCTCAACTTTCCTGAATGCAGTCCAGTCTGATGTTTCAGCCAGCTAAGTGAGTCACTCTCTTGCGCACGTGCTCCCTGTTTTTTTAGGCACTTTTGGGTATGGCATATTTTTAATGCAATAGAAATAGAATTAATAATAGCTTAGTCTATTTAATTGCTGTCTTTATGTTTTCTTATATAGATTTATTATAGACTTTCCTCTGCATTTTTTTTTCTCGTCAGTTAGAAAAACAAGTGCACAGCTTTTAAAATACAGTACATAATAAGAAAATACAAAGGAAGCGGTCATCAGTAGTGATAAGAACCTGTACATTTCAGAAACCACCTTTTGTAAATTAACATCTACCTAACATCTACTGTGACAGTGGTCTAGATGTGTCATTGTAATATATTTTGTTGCATTCTGTCTGGGTTTTTGGGAACTGTGGACCACATTTGCTGTCGCTTTGATACCATCAGACAGATTGGCCACAAGAATTTTGTTAAAGAGCAGTACGCAAAGATTACTATGCTGTTGAGAAGTAAATAGAGCACAGGGTTTGAAACTACGTGAAAGATTTTAAGCTCGAGTTTGCATAAACAGCTGAAAGGAAGTTCAAACAGTCAATCCTACAGAAATTGTCTCTTTAGATTTAGGTTGTATGAATGCTAGTAGACTTTTTGAGTTAAGATGTAACTTTTAATTATCCAACTGGATTACAAAACTGATTACTTGAATATGAGTAATATTAATAGCACCTTGTGACTTAAATGATCATAGTTGTCACATTTCACTTTATTTCAAAGATGGCGATACAGTTCAGCCTAAACAAAACTTTTTCATCTGTGTCCTCCTTATGTAACTTCCTTTAAAACAAACTAAACTGTGGAGAGTTGTGGTTCAACATTTGGTGCTTTAGAACTCAGTGAAAATAACTTCTGCATTCTTTGTTTGGGGTGTTTCATACATAGCAACTTTTGAGGAGATTTGAAATGCCTGCATGTGTCTAGACTGTATTGAGTGTAAACTTTTTGAATGTGAACCTTTTGTAAACAGTGAATAGATCTATGTTTTCTTTCTGCTAAAATTCCTCCTTGTGTGTCACCCTCAGGCAGAGATCAGCAGCCTTCAGCAACTTCTCCTCACAAAGAATGCAGAAATTGAGAGTTTGCACACTCAGTTGCTGGCTAGACCTCCTCTGACAACAGAGATCTCAGAGAGAGGTAAGCAGACAATTTGTGCAACTTAAAGCCTTCAATAACCTGCCAGTGAAATGCTACAAATACATGCACATAACTTTTGCATTCAGTAACAGCGATGGAAACATTTTGTCTTAACTCTATATAAATTGTGTTTTTGGGTTTGGGGGTTGTGTGTCTGTCTCTCAGAGGAGATGTACAGGAAAAGACTAAGCACCAAATGTAAGCCTGTGAAGCACTCCATAAAATCTCTTGGGACTTCTCTACTACTAACTGTAGATTCAATGCTTTTTCTCTAGGGTGTTTTTTTCTTAATTATCTTTTTTATTTCCTTTTGCATTGAAAGACTGCTTTGAAAATTATCCAAAGTTTGCTTTCATTACTACTTCAGTCTTTATGTGTTTCTAAAGAAAACAATTCTTTTTGCCAAAAATTGTCCTCTTCTGAGATCTTGACTCGTAGTTATTATCATAGTTTACTAGAAATGCTGATGTATTCCTGAATAAACGGGAGCCAAAATAGGTAAACTAGGTTACTTTTTTGTGACATAGATCAAGAACTCCAAAGACTTCGCAGTGGAATGAAATCACTGGTTGCTACCAATGATGAAAAGGTAAGCTGTAAAATAAATTGAAATCAACTTTTTAAAATGATTTTATTAGGGAAAAGCATTTCATTACACCATAACTCTGTATGTGGGGACAGTTATTTTTTTAGGAAAGTACCAGCTTTTAGATCCTGTTATTTCCTAGAGGTACCACCCTCTGATCATTTACGTTTAGCACAGAGGATCTTTTGTGTTTTTTCGCCCAGAGTATTTTGCACTTTAAGCACTTTCAGACAGACTTGCGTGTAGCACACTAGTGAGAACTTGCACACACACATGCACACACGTCCTGAAACAAGCCTTTTCAGACTAGCCACAATTAAGCAGGCTTTGCTCTGCCAAGTTTAATTTCGGAGTGAGCTGTATCAAGATAACTATGGCAAAACCAGGCATGGGCACCACTTCAAAACAAACACACTCCGTGCAGCTGTTTGCTGCAAAATACAGTTTCCAGTGAGGTCTAGGTCTGTCCCCTCCCTGTCCGTTACTTTGATGTAAAGGCCATATGGTCGAAGGGTAATGTCTGTGGGCGTATCAGCCACCAGCTGAGTAAAACCAGCAGAGGGTGGCCATGCTTCTTAACTTTTAATGACTATCCTAATAGGGTTACGTTGACTTTAAAGCTCTACTGCTGTGTTTTCTGCAGGATAGACAGATTGAAGAGCTCACTCTACTCCTGAATCAGTGCAGACAGTTCAGAGATGTTACTCTCATCTCAAGACCAGGTATTGGGATTATTTACCCTTCCATGTGAGTGACTGAATTTCCACCCTTATCATGTATAATCTTTCCATAACTTGTCACAGCTCCATCTGCTGCCAGTTCATTGTCAAATGGTCGGACTGCTTCAAGTAGCAGTGAGGAAGGAGACCAGATCCTGACCAAGACTGTTGACTCTACCAGTACAAAATCTGATGATGTGAAGTCTGAGGTGAGTTTAAATAAATCTAGTTGGTTTTAAAGTTAGCATAAAAAATACAAATCTAAACAGTCAAAATTCTTTGTATTGTAACTTTTTGACCCAAACAGGTTTCAACAAATAGTTCATCTTCCCAGCAAGCATCAATCCAGACAGATTGCGATTCCAGGTAGTAGAATACTTTTTCATCGTAATGAATTTTGCATCTCTTATTGGAATCTTTCTGAGTGTGTTTTGTCTTTTTTGTTTTTTTACAGAATGGAGCTACAGATTTTATCAAGTAGCTTGAATGACATAACAAATGGACATTCACCCAAGGTATTTGTAGTATTAGTGAGGTATTTACTTTCCCTTATTTTAACCAACAGACATGCACATTTGATTCAAAAGTAGCATGTGCCTCCTGTTGGTCTCATTATGAATATTTAGGGTTTTTGAATATTTATTTTGTTGCATGGTCATGATTGAAAATGACCAAGTTATTTGCCCAAACTTGGAGATATAGGCATTATGTTTAGTGTCCTTTACTTGACTGTGGTCTGTAAAAAGAACACAGTCAAAAACAAGACTTACAAGAACACAGTCAAGTGCCATCACTGATTTCAAATTCTTTAGAAGTGTCTTTAAATCTCTTACCAGACTAAAGAGTGGTCCTTGTGAAATCCTCAGACAGAGGTTTTTGTCTTATCGTGCTGTTCCTTCTCACTTTAAAAGTCAGGAACACACCAAACTAAATGTCTGCGATTTAAATAGTCAATTGCTTTCAAAATTCTGGTTAATCCTGATGTTATATTCATGGGTTGAGTGGTGATAGATCTGTGAGTGTGTTATTCCTGAGACATTTTACAAAAAAGTAGCCTCATCTCCAAATATTAGAAAAACACACTTTTTCACATGGCCATAAATTGCATGAGAATTCTTAAGAACTTTCTGCGTTTTTATGTATATATCTTTTAAATTTGTAAATAGTTTCTCCGTGGTGGTCTGGGTGACAGCAGAAGTCAGACTTTGCCTGTGAATTCTACTCTCCTGGAACAAAATGAGACCGATGATACAGATATTCAGAGACAAAAAAATCCAGTTGAAGATGGAGACTCATGCCAAAGTAAGTTCACACTATCAGTTTCATACTGTTATTCATGATATTGTTGGATGAGCAATGCAAAATAATCTATTTCAGAGGCCTATAGATTCCCATGAGAGCAGATAGGATTCAATTTTGGAACTATAACCACTTTCTTCTGACCAGAAGACCACTGAACTCTTGATCACAGCTAATTGCAGAGGCTCCTGTCAGAGCAGATGGATCGTGGGATAGGGTTACTTAACCAGCCCAACCTCTCCCTTTCTTGAACCAACCACATTCAGCCCAGCTCCACCCTTCTTTGATGTGACTGACCAGTTTAAAATCCAGCCACACCCTGTTATCTCTTTGAACCTTTTGCACAGAAAACAGACTTTATCATAAACATATCACCCTGTAAATTATCCTAAAACTGTAAATTATCCTAAATATGTAAACGTATTTAGTTTACGTTGATACATTAACCAGTATTTATCAACTCAACAAAGCATTGTGAACAGTCACATGAATTAAACATGTTAAAAAAACATCTGGCTCCATACTCACTCATTATCAAGATATTTTCTGTTGTGTTGACCACAGGGAAACAGATATAGTCTTTATTCAGATGTCATTAATCAAGAGCATGTTTTTGGCAGGAAGTTACTGAAGCTTAGTCTGCGCTCTGATGCTATTCTGAGTGCAGCACTTTTTCAACAACACAAACATGCCTGTTAAAGAAAAGAAAAAAATCTTTAAAATGGCTGGCCCTTTTAGGAACCAAGTCTGCATACTCTTTATTCTTAGTTAGTGACTGTTGTTTTTATAACACACTTAAGGAAAGTTGGAGCGAGCCCATGACTGCACACCCAGTGAGAATTCCCCTGCTCATTGTGAGGCACAGCCTGGCCAACGAAGTGTGGGATCTCCTGAGTACATGAAGAACAACAGGAGCTTCAAGAGATTCTGGGGAAAGTAAGTACAGAGACACAAAAACAAGTAAGCGATGTCCAAACAATTAGAAAGAGGAGATATTATTTTATTTGTATTGCGGTTGCAGTTTTAAAACTGATGTTATGACCTAATAATTAACTGACCACTTGACATTTCTTCGTCAGATTATCTGCTGATTTTAAAAATGATGTACCCTGCCCTGGTAAAGCAGTACACTGTGAATTACATTTGGTTGATCCCAAAACACTGACGTGCAAAGTGTTTGTCAGCATTTATTTTGAGTATCAAAACTGCAGTCATTTCAATATGCCAGCTTGCACTTTTGTTCACACAGGCTTCGAAGAACCCAGTCTGGTGGCTTCCAGCCTGCAGATCCAGATGCGGGTCAGTTCAGAAGAGGAGGCTTACGTGCAACAGCGGGACCCAGACTTACCCGAACTCCTGAATCTAACCCCACACGGTAAAACGCTTTGTGTTTCAACATTTTCCAACTGAGCTTTCAATACCTTAATAAATCGTTTATTTTGTCTCATTATTAATTTTGTTGTTGTCAGCGACCTAAATATTCCATTCAGTCAATGGACCAAGGAGCAGGTGTGTGGCTGGCTTGAAGACTACGGTCTGGGCCAATACATCAATCTCACCAGACAATGGGTTGAAAATGGTCAGACGCTTTTGGCAGCCACACCTCAAGACTTTGAGAAGGTTTGAGAACTGCATGCCAAATGGAACACTTGTATAAAATGGATTCTACATATTTTTACACTTGTATATTGAGTCATACAAATATTGCAAAACATATCAGAGCTATTGTTTTTGTTCCCACTTTGACTTTTCTTTCTGACTTCAGGAGATGGGCATGAAACATCCCCTTCACAGGAAAAAGCTGCAACTTGCTTTGAGGGCCTTTATTTCAAAGGCTGCAGAGAAATCGTCAGAGCTGGATCACATCTGGGTCACCCGTAAGCGTTAATCTGCAGGAAATATGTCTCAAACCGTTCTAATTTTAGTTAAATCCACAATGATAAAGTAGAGTTCCTTTATCAATGTGTATGATTGCTTGTCATAAACCAAGCAATCATACACAGTGTAATACATCAAAACAAAATATAAATATTATCATTTGCCAAAACATGAAAATTGAACTTAACATGTTTTTGCATGAAGCATGTTTTTAATGTTGTATCTTAGTGAGCATATCAATGTGGGATTTTCTGTAGGCTGGCTGGATGATATTGGATTGCCTCAGTATAAAGACCAATTCCACGAGGCTAGAGTAGATGGCCGGATGATCCAGTATCTCACAGTGGTAAGGCTTAATCAAATTAATACATAATTTTCCTCATGCACTTAAAGTAATAAAGCTGTTGTGTTGTATGACAGAAAACGTTTAATCAAATTCAATGTTTTATTATTTTTTTTTTTGTAATTTCAGAATGACCTCTTGACTCTAAAGGTTGCCAGCCAGCTTCACCATCTCAGCATTAAGTGTGCCATTCATGTTCTTCATGCCAACAAGTTCAACCCAAACTGTCTTCGACGCAGGCCAGGCGAAGAGGTGGTTAAACACAAAAAGAACCAAGTTGAAACTAAAAATATACTTGTGGTAGTATTACTATGACAAATATGGTCATGCCTCACCGTTATTTAAAGGCATGGATGTTCTTACTAGGGAGGCGTTTACTGAAATTGTAATCTCATAATCTTCCACAGGATGGCAGCAGAGATTAAATGAGCTTAAGCTCAACCTTTATGTTTGTTTTTAAACAATTGATTTAGCTATCTATCAGCAGTGATTACATTTTTCTTACTCAGTAAGATTCCAGTAGATATTTTTTATTCCAATGGCTTATTATTTCAATGACATCTTGCTTTTATTCCCAGAAACATCCCTCTCCTTCAGAGGTAGTACAGTGGTCAAACCACTGTGTAATGGAGTGGCTAAGAGCAGTTGATCTTGCTGAGTATGCTCCTAATCTACGGGGGAGTGGCGTTCATGGTGGCCTGATTGTAAGTACTGCTAATATATATATATAGCAGGTCTGTGTTCTTTTTTGTGGTTTTACATTACATAAAATGTTTTCATTTCTTTCTTGCATATCTAACAACATCAAAAAAACTACACTTGGTTTCAGAATGAATCATAATAGTAGGTTAAGAGGGGGTTCAAAGAAAAGATAAAACAGAAAACCGCCCAAAGACCTTTCCTTTTTTTTTTTTTAATAAGTTTAAAATTTTACATTAAGATTCCTTTAGACAAATTAAATACTATGGGTGACAAATCTAAAACTATAAAATATATAGCTACTCAGTGTTAGTGCCGCAGCATCTAATATGCATAAACTTGATTATTTGTGCAGCAAATTAAGCCACTTCTTCAGTTCAGGTCACAAGTGATTGTTCATCAAATCAATCAAATATGCTATTACAGTGTATTGCCAAAAGTATTGAGTCACCCATCCACATCATTGCATTCAATTGTTTCAGTCACTTCCATGGCTACAAGTGTAATATTGCAGAAGGGAACTGATTGGGTATGACAGCAACTCAGGCAGAATATTATAGGTTACATAAAGTCACAGAGAAGAGGTTGCCAACTTTCTGCAATGTCACTTGCTACAGACCTACAAGCTTCATTTAGCCTTCAAGCTAGTTCAAGAACAGTGTATAGACACTTTTCATGAAATGAACTTGTTTTTGCAGCTGGATCTGGGCTTTATATCTTCAATCTAAATGCTTAGCGTCAGTTGTAGTGGTGTGAAGTACACTCCTACAAGACTGTCGAGGGGTCACTCAACCTGCTTTCTGGAATTACAAATTACATCTATTTGGCAATCTAATCAACAACTGTGGATGTCAAAGTAGCCAGAAAACCTGCACCTGCCTGACTGGAAGGTGTAATGCTTTCTACAGATCATTTTTCACAGCACAAAATAAACAAGACTCATTAAATCTAAGTAGATAAATTGTGTCATTCATGTTTAAATGTAAATAAACTGCATATTCCAGCACACTTAGAATATGTCTCCATTTCTTAGCAGTTCTGCATTCATTAATCTGGAAGACGCTCTGCAATTTTTAATGTTGACAATGCAGCATTGACATGCTGAGCAACAACATCAAACAAGCAAAATACCTCTAGCTTTGAAGTGAAACCTTGAACTAACTGCTGTAGAAAACCACAAGACAAATCGATTAATTATATGCCATGATATTTGTGAACTCCTTACAATTATTGTGACTTGAGTTATTCATTTTATGTTTGTTCTCCCACTTTCTCATCCTAACAATAGCCTAAAAGATGGAAAATGGCTTCAGAGGAGGAATTTTGCTTTTTAAAGCCTTTTTTAGCAGTTTGTGGCTTGAGACTGTTTTATAACAAACTACATGACTATTTTATTATTTTTTTTTTTTTTTTTGTTCTTTTATAGATCTTGGAGCCTCGCTTCAGTTCTGAGACTTTGGCGCTGCTTTTAAATATTCCTCCACAGAAGACTTTGCTCCGACGTCATCTTGCTACTGCTTTTGCTGCCCTGGTTGGGCCTCAAGCCATGCAGGAGAAACGAGAGTATGGTAACGCCACAGGCCATGTCCCACTTACTACCACTGCTAAAGTTAAAGTAAGAGGGCCGTTTGAGCAGATCCATAAGTAGTTGTTACAGAAAAGTAACAGATTTATTAATATTCTATTGTACCGTTTGTATTTTTTCAGCCAAAGAAGCTGGGCTTCACCCAATTCAGTCATCTCAGAAAGAGGAAACCCGATGAATCTGCAGACTACATTTGCCCAATTGACAGTGAGGCACTAAAGGTGAACGGAGTTTCCCGGATGCTCACTCCATCACACAGAGGCTTTAGCTCAACTTTGGACAGGCAAGCTGAAAAGTGGCAACCAGCAGCTGTAAAAGCTCACAGTAATGTTCCAGATAATAACTGAAAAAAACAAGAAACTCAGTTTTATCTTCCACTCATTGATTTAAAATTTGCTGAAAGATTATTATGGCTTTTGACCAGGATGTATTTCTGTTGGGATTTCCTGGGTGGGTTTGGAAGAGTCTATGAATACATGCAAGTGTTTTATTTATCATTGTCTTTTTGATCAGATGTGAGATTGAAAATCTCAGTATTTAAGAGTTAAATGTATCTAATACGATGTGAATGGTATTAAAAAGGCTGCTCCCGGCATTCCTTATGAAGATTTATTCCAAAGCTTACCCCACTGCTTTAAAACCGTTTTATTGACCATTTTGTATCTAAATATTTCTGTATTTTTTAATGTAAATTAGGATTGTATATACAGCTTAGTTATTGACATGAAATACTTCAAGGTTGTCTTTTCATTGTTGGAATAGTTATTTCATTTAGTATATTAGATCTTAAAATAAAGTCATTGTGTAAATGACTTTACTGACTGCCTATTAGACAGTTAACCTATTTAGAAGATAAAATTGTCATTCGTCAATATGCCTTAATAAATGGTAGGTTTCTAATATTTCTGAAGCTTTTAATGGTGTGTAATATTTATTTGTGTTTCAGCGTTAGATATGGATAGACAGACAGACTAGTGCATGGTCACCAGAGCACTCGTGGCTTTAATAGCTAAGATTCAGTGAAGAACCCTCAAGCACGCTCTGGGAGAATGTGAGTTTGGGACTAAGGTGTGGAAGAATAACTTGCTTATGGATGAGCTGTGTAAATATTTCCACTTGGAATACAAGAAAATTACAAAAACTAGAATTTTAATGTTCTTTTCAAATTTATTTTTCAACACTGATAATACACCAAAATATTTGCATAGTCTTAAGTTATTAAACTGACAACAGACATTAAAAAATGTTTTAAAGTGTATGACAAATCTGAACTGTAACCAGGTTTCATTTAACATCTGAACAAACAGGATGTAATTGTTAAAAATTTTTACATACTGGCAAGTAATCAGTAGCCATATGTCAGTTTTATTAATCCATTAGAAACTGCAGTACATATTAAAGCTGCATCTGGAAGCAAATGATCACTGGGATGGAAAATATAGATATGCTCAGACCAGTCTTCAGACTGTTGTTGCTTTACTCTTTTTTATTTATATGTATTTTCACATCTGTTTTATGGTGCCATTTAACAGATGTTGGTCTCACTTGGGGACATGTTGCTGCTGCTTGGAAAAACCTAAAGAAATACTAATAAAATGTATCTCGTTTTATTTTAGTGTAGCTTTACTCAGCATTTCAAAGATAGAAATTATGATAGACACAATTCTGCTTTCTTAAGAGAAGCATGAGGTGTTGTCTTTTTTTTCACTAGTAGGCTTATTTTTTCTTTATTTTTCAGTTATTTTAATGAACTTTTCCTATTCAATGTATTTAAATAATAATTAGTTTATCTTAGATTTTTGTAATCTTCTTTGAGATGGTGTTTGCTGGTCTCACCCTGTTCTAACATTTTACCTGTCAGTATTTGATCAACATGTGGGGCACATCTCTGATGGTGTAAGTTGTCTGTTTTTTTTAATTGTTATTATTATTTAATAACTGCAACTGTGGATGACAAATATTTAAAATTAGCTTAGACATTATTTTAGATTTTATTTTTTTAACTTTCAATTTCTACAAGACTGTTATACTATTTTGGAAATACACATATTAAAAATGCAAGCAATATAATAGTTCTGCATTTCATTAGTTTGAAAAGAAAGGATATTCTGATGATTAAGTGCAAATGACGGTGTCATAAGTCCTTATTTTTATTCAACTGATCAACATAAAATAAATTGGAGAGATGTTGGTGTGAAGGTTGGCATTACGGTAGGTGAACATCTTAAAAATGCATAAAGCAATTGTTACACAAGGTCTAATAAAGCTGGCGATTATAATATAAGACGAGGTTACATGAATTGAATGTTAAGCACAACACAAATCCTTTTAAACCAGCAGGTGTCAGTGTTGCCTATGTAGTCTGACAGAATAACGCCAGTTCTGAACTTTTACACTTGGTTTCAGCTCTTTGTCACGTATCATCTAATCACTTGTATGTATTCTGGGACGATCATTTAATCATCCTTTTTGTTCTTTATTTATGAACAATCAATGAATGCAGTGTATAAAGTGGTTTAGAGTTTAAGAATCCTCTGTTGTCATTTTGCTCTAATTATAAAGTATGGCAGTCTTTTCATGTTAAAAACAAATTAGATCTAAAATCAAGTCAGATATATCCACATTTCTTTCAATTTTACTCTGCTTTCCAATTTTTTATCTTTTTTGTGTGTGTGCATGTCTACATGGAGAAGAGATGCTTTGTTTATAACAGTGCATCTTAGGCTAATTTCAGTAATGTGATCCAGCCTGCACCCGCTGACAGTTTAATAGCTATTATTTGTGTCGCCCTCTCTCATAATGCCTCTGCTGTAAATTGCTACCTGCAGGCAAGGAGGGCTTGACTGACATATTACCTTGCAATATGGTATCTATTGTTTTAATTAAGTGTAAGTGTTTGTGACATTCATTGGTTTCCAAGTTACTTTTTAATAGCACATCAGAAAAAAAAGTGAAATTAAATTATTATGGTTTACATTACATAAATATTTTTTGCGAACTCTTTGCTAATGACTACACATTATTCTACCACTTTGACTGTCAGTGTATTTAAATGCATTGCAAATAAAAACGATGAATAGGTGATGCAACATAAACCTTCTATTGGCAGCATCTGCTTCCAGATTTTTTAAATTATTTTTTTATCCACTTTTAAGCTTTACTATTATTATTTTTATTCTTTTGTCCTAGATATTTTGTTTTGTTTTTTTATTCATTTCAACAAAAAACTGTTTTGTTTTTTTCTTTTCATCAACCAGTGTGTTTGTGCTTTAGTTCCTCCCCCGTTTCTGCCTGATCAATTTACTCTTTTAGATGTCCTAAGTGAGCCATAATCATGTTTTCATCTGATGTCACTGGCCATTCCTGTCAGTAATGTACCACCAGCTTGCCAGTCGGGGGAACATATTTGATGTTAGGGAGGTGCATGTGTTGCATACTCTCCATCCAGCCGCTGAAGTTGTATCTGTCTCCGGCACACCAGTTTGTTCTGACAGGCCTGCCACAATGATGACTGCATCACCCAGATGCGGCAGAGTGGCTTCCGAGCCAACGCTGACATGCCGTCTAAAGGAGCAGTCAGCCGTCTACATGAGTCTCTTTCTGCCCCATCAAACCTCAGAGCCCATCTCATCCCATCCAATGAGGCAGCATCGCCCTGGTTGGTTGTTTCTTTTTGCTCTCTGCGATGAGTTCATCTAATGTGACAGGCTTATCTGACTGAGATGGTTTTAATATATCTAACGATAAGTTTGTGTCTAAATATTTCAGTTATCTAAAGACATTCTGAATTTGCTGCGTAAATGTAACATTGTTGGCTTTTTAACATGCATGATGATGAAAAATTCAAAAACAATCACCATTTGTGTAGGATGATTAAATGACATAATCATAAATGCAAAACTGCCCACAGAGATTATTTAAACAAACGAAAATGTCCCCCTACACAGCAGCTCCCTCTTCAGATTCAAGTTGGTACTGAACTGCTTCGAGACATGAATATTAGTTCCAGTCAAACCTGTTTGCAAAATGAAAACATTATTTTAAAGCTAAATCTGCCTGGGACATGAATATATCAGCTCTTGCTTTGGCATCAAGTCAGTTGCTGCTACTGCTAGCTTGAGGGAGCTGAGTGGGGAAGGCTTGGAAGCTTGGAGACTGCAGCTATGAGAAGGAGCTGCTTGGAAGGCGGCGCTTGGTTCCACCAAACGTTTTGCAAATCAAAATGGTTTACATCATACCATATGGTGTAAAACAATTTATCAAGCATGCATGAAAACTAATCAAAGCCATCTAGGTCTGCTTTTAATGAGGGAGTTACATTGTAAGATCAAATAGAGTGGAAAAAAAGAGTCAATTTTACAAAAGACAGCCCCTTTAAATTCCATTTTAGTTTGTCAAGCATTGAAATAAATATGTGCAAGTGATGTTGCACAGAGGTGTGTTTACTTCTTATGAAACACCTTTAAATGTCTCTACATTTGAAGATAATATTGCATTCCTTTAAATAATTTACTGTTTATGTTGGTTTTACTTGAAGTACATAATAAGACTAAGAGAGACAAGCCTCCTCAAACCAGAAATTATTGAGAACAGAGCCTTGTGCAAAGAAGTTAACACATATACACTGTCAGACTGTAAAATTACAAATACCATCATAATTTTAAAAAAAAGAAAGAAAAGATGCTATGTCACCCACTTTTAAATCTGAGTTAATCTACTCTGATTCAACCAGAACTATCATAAAAGTGCTGAAAGTCAAAAGAGTTTCCATGTCAGAAGAATAGAAACTGTTTCTGCACCTCTGGCCATCATCATGGGTGATCAAGACTGACACACATCACCAAAGGCTTTCATGTCTGATGAGAACACCTGTCTGACTCACAGAATGAAACTGGACAGTGGCTTGCCAATGCAATTAACATTTCATATGTGCTGTCCTGTCTCAGACAACAGTTTTGGGGTGCACTGAAAGAGAGAACACAGAGGAAGAACAAAATTGCAGCATATGGTATGATGTAAAATTTGTTGCTGTTATTTTTTTTTATCTTTACCATTTCTTGGATGTAATTCCTAATCTATGATTAGTTGGAAAAAGTGAATTTCTTTCTTTTTTTTTGTTGAAATGAAATGTTTTGTGTAGTTTAATATCAAACATAAATTAACCCAATATCTACCAAAATCAGTCTCAACATTTATTTATTAACTATCCCAACCCAACCAGTGAGTAACGGGAGAAAAAAATATATATTTTAAAGGGGCTTAGTCAAAGTTCAGACCTCATTCTGACTGAGATCATATGACAAAACCTTAACCTAGTTGTTTATTATTGAAGAACCTCCATTATTACTGAATGAAAGCAATACTGCAAGAAAGACTAAGTCAAAATTCCTCAGTGCCAGAAATGGAAAATGTTTGATGTCAGTTGTTGCTGCTTGGTGTAGAACAACCGGGATATCAGGTTCATTGGTAATTGCTTTTTCACACTGGATAGCTTTTGTCATGCAATAAATGAAATTACAATTTGAAAACCTCTTTTTGTAATTACTTAAATTATTTTTCACTGATCTTAATATTTGTCTCATCTGAAACATTTACGTGTGACTCAAATAAGCAAAAACAAAAGAAAAATACAAATGACACACACTTTTTCACTTTGCTGCAAAATCACTTTGAATAAACAGAATGCTTAAAAGCTGGGGTCATAGAGATTTATTACATATTTCATATTAATTTTGTTCGGCGGATATGAGACACAAGGAAACTCAATCATGAGACATTAACGCTGACGGTCTGTAAGGAGGAAACAGAAACATTTCCACGGAGTTGAGGAACAAAACAGCCATTCAAACTTTTCATCCAAAATGTATAATTTAGAGCACTCATAAATAATTACATTTACTAT